CTTACATTACCTATTGGATTGCGTCTATATCTTGATATTGTTCTACTATTTGTCACTGAAATGAAAATTGCTTCTGGTTATTTTTTGTAATAAATCATTTAAATTTAAGGATTTCGAAGTTAAAACTTCAGACCTTTTCTTTTTCTCTATTCAGAGCATCCATGAGATGAGTGAACCCATGCTGGATGATAAATTTCCTGCACTGCTTACGGTGCCAGCATTCTGCAAGCCAAAAATTTTGTCGCGCACACCTGGGTAGAGATAGCATGTGGGTTTGAATTGCGACAAAATCTCCTAGTTTTCATTTACTTTTTGAATGATTTATCATCTCACATGTAGTTATAGCTTCCTGGAATTCTCGATGGTATTGTGCCTCCGTCACATTAATGTTATTCCTTTAACACTTGGAAAATAAACATTCGGAAACAATTCTGAGATATAATTCATGGTGTGGTTTATTGCTATTGCGATAAAAGTAATTTTCAATATTATCAGACATTTTTTGAGATGTAATAGCTGTTAATTCGAATTGTGAAATCAGTGACAAATAGTAGAACAATATCAAGATATAGACGCAATCCAATAGGTAATGTAAGCAATTGAAGGATTACTATTTTTTTAAAAAGTTAAGATACAAGATGGATGCTCAGAATGAAGTTGTTCATCATTTACTACAGCTAGACTTAGGACCAATCGAACCAAAAGTTCCATAGCATCAGGCACAGTTAATCTCACAGAAAGTGAAGATCCACTAGCAAATTTACTGTCGTTGGAAACTAAACAGATTTTGATGCGCCGTTCATTCCATGATGATGAACTCCCTAAACAGATAGGATTGATGAATTGATACACTATTTATATGACCAATAAGTTTTCCATGGGGGAAATGACTCTCGAGTCTAGGCACATCCTAATAACAGTTTTTTATTTATTTAGAAGGTTTGTAAGTGATAATGTTAATATTACATTAGATAGTGTTATGCATTATTTAATAACATTACCAGGCACTTTTATTTGGAGTTGTAGACAGAAGATGACTATAATGAGAATGCTTATATAATCCACTCGGTATCCAAGGTTTTGGACCCTATCTTTGCATATTCTAAGTGGCTGCTCAAGCGTGCATGGTAACATATTTTCTCAATTTTTTATATCATGTTACAATGTACTCATGCTTGTAGATTTGAGCAAACAAGCAAATCATCACATATTAGAAAAACATGGATGGAGTCTATGAATTTGGGAAAGAAGCTCGATCTACAAATTTTATCAAAGCTAGATATGGAAGAAAATGAGCTAGTTCTAGCCGATATTTACTGATTATTCCTCAAACAAGACAAAGAAACTATAGACCGGAAAAAGTTGGTTTGTATTTGCAAAGATTGTTTAGATGAGCGCTACAACATTTTTTTGAAGGAAGAGATGATACTATCACCATGGCAAGATTGATACATCATGAGCTAGGGGAAAATTACTATCTTAGGGATTCGGTTATCTTTGTGAGTTGGCTATCTTTTTTTGAAGAGAATGATTCGAGAGTAACTTCAAAAAATTCTTATTTTTATATGTTGAGCCAATATTATTTTTATATATTAACAATCTCCAAATATATATGCTTCAAACTTCTAGTTATCTCAGATAATTATCTAG